CGAAGATCAATTGGATATATATTTGCCAATTTCCGCAGGGTATGGAAAATGACGGTACAGAACTGAAGAATCTTGGTGTGATGAAGGAAGAGCAGTTGGTACCAGTTATAGTGACAGGTAGGTAAACTTAAGAGCGACCAACTACATGCGAGGTGGGTGAAGGTAGAATTCAGTAGATGCGACTGTATTGCAAGCAGCAAAGAGGGAGCACGATTATTGTGGGTGTGGATGACCAACTAGCTGCGTTATCACGACTGGAGCTTGTGGATGTGCTATCCGCGAGCAAAACATTCCATCTGAAGAAGTTTACAGGTCGAGGCATAGGATACGCAGTCGCGGATAGGTACCAAATCAAGAAATTATGACTGATTATCATTCGAGCAAGTATGGAGTGGAGGACTCGAATACAGCAAAGTTGCCGGCTGGAAATGAAAGCGAGGAAAAGGACGAAGGCGTGGAGCCGAAAGCTAGCGATAAAAGCGAGCGCAAGCCGACGATAAAGATGTCCAGCCTTGCGTGCAGCTCGCATGTATTACGTGGTGAATACGACCGGTCATAATTTGAGGCTACAAAGAAACACATTAACTAACGTTGAGCGATTGGAAGCTAGCGTAAGTAAGTTTCTTTGAAGGGATCTAAAAAGTCTTACCTGCATATTACGAGAGAACAAAGTAAGTAGATAAATAATTCTAATTCAGCTGGGCCATCGCAACTCCCGCGGCTGATAAGACATGAAGTCGGTCATAGAAGGAGTCGTAGCACTATTTGGTTAAAAGTGTAGATTAAGTAATAAGCAGACAAGTTTCGAGTCGGTTATGGATGTCAAGTTCAACTACCTTCGCATGGTGGATGGGAGCTACTAGATCTGTATAAGCTAATTCGTGAATTCAGCTTTAATGTGAAGAGGCCGATAAAAGTTGACGATGCATAAACGAACACCATTAGAATCTGAGTAAAGTATATCAAGCTTGAACATTATGGACAATCGATAAAGTACACCTGCGACTACGCTAGAATGAACAAGGTAGTCAGTTTGAGATATATGGTAGTGGACCTGCTCACGCTGGTACTGGTGGCACCAAGGATGGATGATATGCAAGATAATTTAATGTGCAGTGGCTCGCGAA